TCCTTACAATTGGCCTATTACCTAACATGCTACTTATTTCTCAGATGAAAATTTAAGCATTTTACTTAGATATTACCTAAGAACTAAGAACATAAATACATCCGATTATTTCCACCCGTGTTCTGTTCACTGCATAGTAATTAAAAAGAATAATTTTGGCTTCTGAGCAGCCGCTCTAAACCTCAATTGTGTTTTATTCTATCATTTTAATATAGTCTATTAAAATATGAAACAATTATTCTTGGATTTGATTCTCACTTGTCACCATAATTTCGCCCATAGATTTTGCTTACGAATAATGCACTAATCTCTGTGTTATTATGTCACCTCTTGAAAAATTTTCATAAGCTTCTATGGTCGGTAACCAAACGGGCTGGTTACATAAATCACGGTTCTGTTAGAATCTTTCAAGATGCATTTATGATACCTTGGTAAGCTCTTCACGTGGTTGATGCTATTATTACTGTGTTTTTTTATCCAAATATGTTTTCCGTATAAATTTCCTACTTCAATTGAATTATATTAGCAGCACATATGTAAAAACGTCAATCATATTTTGTTAGTTTACCATGACAACAGTAACTGCGAATAAAAACATGCAGAAAGCATACTTCATGCATTATTTACACAGTTGAATAAATAGGGAATACGTTTATTCGTGATTAACAAAAAAATGTTTATTCACAACAGGGATCGAATTTAATTTTAAATTAGCAGTCATTAAATTTAAATTGCTTAAGTCGTGTACAAATTAAACAAACATTAAACATTGAAAATCATAAGGACAGTTCGATAAATTCAAGTAGTTGTTATCTACTTTTCCATTATTGGCAAATTTCGTATTACATTCGTAACAAAAAAACCCGCTTTCTGGAAGCAATTAATCCGTTGAATAAAAGTTTGTGTTGATTTCATAAGTGCTTGTTTGACTTTTAAAAATAATAAATTAGTGGAAACAATTTAATAATTGCAGGAAAAGATTGTTTTATTTTATTCCGTTATATTTGGTTCCAAAAAGTGGTGAAAATCATTTTCCCACTTAATATCAATCGATTGGAAGTTGACAATTTCGACTTTAGAACAGTTGTCACATGTATCAAAACTTCCAAATTAGATCAATCATGCTCAGACTAATGAGTCCAAAGTGAATAGATATTCGCAAAAGAAAACATTTTTGTTGCACTATCACTAATCTGTTATAACTGGTTTAGATCTATGCCAAGTGTCATCAATTCACATCTAAGTGACTGTTTCTCTTCAGAAATATTAATTTTCGTGGGACAACATTTTAACTTAAGCTAATGACCGAAATCACACAGTTAATTAATTAGGTGAAGTATATTAATCTTAGAATGTGTTACTTGTGGACAGAGTACACAGTACCACAACTATTTATAAATCTGCAAGAAATTCGAGTAATAATACCATGGGTTTATTTTATAACCTATCAAAATAAAAATATTACAATCTAGACGAAACTGAAGTTTCCTTAATTGGTTAAACGTCAGTTTATAAATTAAACTTTTCAACGACAAACCAAATTCAGTAAAACAAAACGAAAAGAGTGGAGAAATGTCTTTTCAATTCGTTTTCCATCATGGCTCTACACCAATATATATTTGATTTGTATCAATGAAATAATACTCATTGAGTACTTACGTTACGTAATAATTGCATGTCAATTTGATTATAAAGTAATATTGAGTAATTGAAAGAAAGAGGATCGTAACAATCAAAACGGTTATTTGACAAACTAAATAGTTGCTAATTGGACAATGTATAGGAAGAACTAATAAAATATTTTGATGAAAAGTTAGTATTATAGTAGTTATGTAAAAATTAAGAGACGAATGTTGAGAACATACAGAAATACAAGAGTGGAAGAAACTAGAAAGTTGTCTAAATATTTTGAAGGAAAGAGCCTAATCAAAGTCCAAATAAAAACTTATTCCTATACCGATCGTCAAGGTAGCAAGAACGGTTGTACAAAATTTTTTTGCATGCAAAGGTTTGCTTTGTGAACATGGATTTCGATGGCTTCAGCAATGTGTAGAAGAATAACTCGTAAACCATGTGGGAAATTTGATGAAATATGATGGATATCCTTAGAAGCTTTATTCAAGTCAACTTGATGACTTATGTTCACCAAGGGGGCGAGGATGGAACTCTTAATCACTCTTACCTGTCCTTTACGCAACCAAAACGAATGTTGCGTTATGAGGTGACGGACTTGTCGAATTGTGCGCCCTATATAATTGGCTCCTAAGGAACAGTTGGATTGGTAAATATACATGAATGTGGCAAATTCTGCCAGTCTGTCTTTATTTATGGTTTTCGTTATCGGGCAATTGTAGAAAACTACAATCTAATTGATTGCACTAAATGTTTTCTGACCTCATTTCTCAACCGTTGGGTCATAATTTCCTCGGTGGCATCATTTAGAAGTTGTAATTTTAAAAACAATATTTTCTTCGGAACTGTAGATAGATTTGGTCTTCTTCTCATCTCATTCATGTGTTTATTCATGAGTTTCGTTAGATATCCATTCCTACTAACCAGGTTAAGAATATTACTCGAACAATTTACAATGGTTTCATTAGAGTAAATCATTCTAGCATGATGAGTCAGGATCTTTACTAAGTTTGTTTGATATCTGATTGATACAGCACTATAGAAACAAGTGTATTGTCCAACTGCAAACTCCCTATTTATCCCTCCTTTTAATGTTCCATCTACCCTTGTTGTCAGTTGGATACCCAGAAAAGGTATGCTATTACTCTGCTCTTCCTAATGTGTAAAAGTAACAGATGGATGGATGTCATTAGGTATATTACGTAAATCATTCTTCACAAGCTTTTTTCTAATACTATGAACGTATCATCTATGTAACGACAGTAAGGTGTTAGATGATTGACTATGTCTTCAAGTGGTCCATTTTCTACTCCTGCAAGTAAAATGTCTGCCAGGAGAGAGCCCAATGGTAACCCCATGGCTATACCATCTAAGTTTCCATAGTATTCATTGTCGAATCGGCAGTTGACATTCATCGTGCATCTAAGAACTAACTGTTTTATTGTGGATACGGGGATTAAGGTTTCTATTTTAGTTCATTGCAAATAAAATCCACAGTTTCCAGTAGTGAAATGTTAGTGAGTATAGACGATACATTTAATGATGATAATGACATAATTTAGTAATATTTTTACAAACCATTGTATATCGGTTTAGTTCCAACATGCTTTTGAGTTTCTTAAGTCTCAACCCTTTAAATATTGTGAAGAAATAACATGTTTATAGCCAGACATTATCCAAGTCTCTTGACATGGTCGCTTTTTAGCAAGCTTTTTATCTACATTGAGCCAAGTTTTATTCCAACGGTTAAGAAATCTTATAACAAGTATATTTACCTATGCAAAAGACAGTTGACTTTTCAATTCATCCGAAATGCTAATTCGATTTCGCCAAATTACTTTTGCATGAAATCTTATTATTTTCTATTACTATTTATATGATCACAATATCAATCTTTCTGTTGCCTAGAAAAGCGACTACAGTGTGTTGTATCAAATCTCTATGTTAATGCTCTTTTAGACCTTTAATTGACTGTGAATGCTATTTCCCATTGAACAAAATCGTTTCAAGTTTTTCAGTTTTTCAACCCACTTGGTCATCCTTTTTTAATACTTTAGTAAATAAAATCCCACTTTGGTAATCTTATGAAGTCAAAAACATTTTCGAATCCGTTTCGAGATAAATATTATATTCGTGTAAAAGTAAGTAATATTCAAGCAAAAAGCACGAAAAAAATCAACTTCTTAACATTTCCTCATTAATCCAAACAACTTAAGGATCCAATTATTATTGTTTTGTATCTCTTCAATTCAATAATAAGCACTCAGATACAATAGATAAAGTCTAGTTCGTCATTAAACACGAATGTTTTTAACTCCTCTTAGCATAATGATGAATTAACTTTATAATTAATGTAACTTTGCTGGATCTTTGAAGTGAACTGAGAGAGTTTCAGTAATTTAACAAAAGAAAATTTAAAGTGTTAATATGTATAATCGAATGAAAAATTCTTTATTTATTTATGGGGACATTTTGGGGAGTGCTTTTCTTCTTTATTTTATAGGAAGTCTATTAAATAACAAGTAATTTTAGTTCATCATACGCAACTGTATTAAAACTGGCTCATAGTCATTCTGTTTAAATGTTTATTCTAATTGAGTATCGCATTCAATTCCAGGGGTGTTGACGAAGATCATGGTTATTTATTGCAAATATTTTATTATTGCTTTACTGACACACAGAAAGTATTACTCCGTAGTTTTTTAAGAGGAGATTACAGTTTACAAGCTTGATAAAAATTGCAATTGCAATACATTATATGCATTTCAAATGAAGCTGTTAAAGTCATTACAACTGGTGAATCTATTAATTATCTGGTTGCTGGCATTCAATGAGAATGGTTCAGTGTCATTTCCATCGTAAGTTTGGGGGGTTGATTTTGACCAGCAAACTGTAAACTAGTTCAAACCTTATTATAAAATACCTGTTATGATGCACAAAGATAACTGAATAGTTCTATCTGACCACATAATGTGATTTTCTCGAAACTCTAATATGGCTCTAAATTTACTGAACATTAACCCAACGCTTTAGGAATGTTAAACAGTACGTTTCGCCATTTCTTAATACAATGTTAAAAATCATGAAGAGGATAAACGTTCAAAATAATTCGAACATATCTATTTACGGAAATCAACTGAAATGATTTCAGCACAAGATATGTAAGATGGAAGTCTTTGTTCAAGTTTATTTTATCCCTATCCCAAAGAAAGTGATTTTAATTGAACGCGGTTATCCTTTTAAAGTGCTTATAATCCTAAAATGTAATATATTTTTTATCACCAAGTGACTAGTTTCAATTTTCATAGGTCAAAAGCCACTCATGCTGTCCCTAATCACTTTCAGGTGCTCAAATAAAACACAATTTTCAGATATACCAATTTATCGCCTTATATTAATGTAAATTATATGGTAATAACTTGAAAGTTTTAATAGAAAAAATGGTAATAAGCATACTTAATAGTCAGCAATATCATCAGTAAAATGGTTTACAGAAACACATCATGTTTTCATCCTCATTTGAAATGAAATTTTGGCAAATGCATTGGGATTCATTGTTTGGACCAACCTGTCTTAAATTAAATTGCATATATCAAGAAAGTTAAGGTGATGCTTAATTCCTTCGATTCCACTGAAACAAATGATACATTTTTCCCAAATAACGAGCTCATTGAGAATATGTTCAAGAATTTAGATTATGTGATTTCCAACAGGGGAATATGCACTTCAGTATTTGTTTGAAATCAGTCTGAAATTAAAAGGTTACATTTAAAACATGTAAATACCCTTTAATACGTTAGTTTGAAAGAACTCTAGAAGTCTTTTTAAAAAAATAGAATTACCAGTAAAAACTATGTGTCTAGATTTTAAAAACGGTATACGAATAATCCTGTAACCCATACAAAACATTGATTGTATTCAAAACTCTTCAAACCAAATGAGTTCACATTGATCTTTGAAGTCATGTTTTCTGGAGGAAATCAAGTGTCATACATGTACTTACAGTTACCATTATTTCAGTAGTCTATTAAATAACTCTTGGATATTACAGCTCATGAAAAGTAGAAAAGCAGAACAAAACATCAGCTAATAAAATGCAAATTAGACTATTATTTATGAGCTATATAGATTCAAATCTCTAGTTCTATAAAGAAGTTCTAAGAAAGTCAATAAATTGAAAATAAAAGTATTTTACACTGACAAATCTAAATTTAAACTACGTTTAGTCTATTTTATTCTTTCCATATACCTACAATAATGAAACAACATACCATTTTTAACTCCCTTTTGACGTATAATCTCTTAAACCTCGAATTCTTTTGGTTGACCACTTGTCAGGCAAAAGAATATTCAAATAAATCCATAGTAGTTATTTTATTTCTTGCGAATGTAATTAAGCGTATATTTTACAAAAGCTCGTTTTTCTCATTGATCATTAAATATTAATGAGCTCTCTGAGTTCTGAATCAAATAAATAGTGATGACCGAATAGAGCGAAGGTATGTAACATCGTATTATTAAATAATAGCCGTTTCCACCAGTACTTCATAGGTTGATTGATTTATTGTCAAACGAACAATGAAGTTCATCAAACGATTCTGAATGCTTATGCGCTGTATAAATAGAAGCGATATGTTTCATCTTTATCCTTTCAGTGAGGAACTGCAACAATTTTTCTTATGAAATTCGATCTTCAGTGATACATAACGTAACTGCGTGGACATGTAGAGAGCAGTTACAATGGAATAAAAATGACGTTTAGATACGTCATCAAGGAAAGTAGCACCTGACCAGGAAATACAAACAAGAATTTAATTTACGGAAACTAAATGTAAGCACAACTTGTTCTCTTTAACATAAGCATTTAGCCATAATTTATAAGTGAAAAACGATTGAGAACTGTGTAAGCCTACTAAAGTTCTTTCTAAACACTAATTCGTTAACTGAAATAACAGAACTTGTCATAGTAGCTAGTAACAGGTCAACTATATGCGAAACAAAAAACACCAATTTCGGTAGATCATCTCTGGTTTGAATCTGGGGAATTGTTTTTCTGTTTAAACACTAAGCACTTTATAAAGCATAAAACATTGGTCTCAAACTTCAAATATCATAGGACACATACATTTTATCTTACCCGAAACGATTTACTCATGATTAGATAAATAATTGGATTGACAAAGCTGTTCGACATTGCTATCCAGTGGCACATACCATACACAAGTCTGGTTGTATTTTCAGGCATATTGCGAAATAATGGACTAAAATCTTGTAGAAGGAAGAATAAATGTGATGGAAGCCAACAAATACCAAACATCGCGACAATGAAAGCCAACATTTTAATGATCTGTATGAAGAAAATCCAAAAAGAGAGTATTCATTCAAAAATTTTGTACAATGGTGTTTAGGGTATAAAACTCCCTTAAATATAATGCATGAATGTTTTTTACTAGAGAGCAAATATTACCATTTAAAAACATAGTTGATTGATTGCTACGACATGATATTTTGAACAAAGCGCCTACAACCGAATCCTGATAAAATACTTAATAAATGTAGTAGTAAATCGAATGTTAAATACATTAAACTGATGTTCGATTAAAGCCTATTTTCCGTTAAAAGAAAACGATTCCAAACTTTGACCATTTAATGTACACAATAAATTTAAACATCAAAATAACAAATGTCACTTGAATTCCAACACAGTGTTGTAAATTTATAATGCTTACTGTAAACATTTTAATCCCTAGATTCACTTCACATGACGTCAAATCATATTTTGACAAAAGATACCTAAACAGGCAAAAACTGTTGTATTCATGAAAATAACATAATTATGTAACAAAAATCATCTCTCAGTCAATAAATATATCAACAACAACAAACTATTGAAACAAGAACTTCGGAAAAGTATTTAGATGATACCACTGCACGTCAAGGATGATTAGCACTTTATGAAACCAATTTTAATACAATTCAAATTAACTCAGAAATCTAAACTTCTTATGATTGTTAAGTAATTTAGTGAGTGTTTAAAATGTTAACGTAATCACTCAATATTTCATACCTTATAATATCTGAGAAGTAATGCTAACAAGATCTCACTTATTTTCATCTGATCCTGAAGCCACAAAAATAAACAGTAATCAATTTTCTTGATTAAATAATAGTGTGTTGTTTGAAGATGCTAGTAATCCTGTAAACATAACGGAAGCTAAGGATAAATAAAACAAATTGTCACATCTCTCTGTAGATTCATTCTCCATGCTATATTTTTGGCCCTGTATCTGACTCCAGTAATATCACATGATTGATTGTTGAAAAATATATATAAGTGGATAGTGTTATGTCCCGATAAGCATAATGAATGGTAGCTTTTGGGATCCATTTATGCACCAATACTATACGTATATTTTTATCGTATAATTGTTAAATAACTAGACTATACATATTCGTGTCCCTCTTATTATGAGCTTTAATTTGACCTATGAACTATTATTCTACGATCTACTATACTCTGAATTATGCCCTGTCTATTAATTACTACCTCCCACACTCACGACCACTTTTGGTCAAATCTTGTACAAATGTTGTTCCCTATTTTATGGTACGATGTGGTCTTTCCAGTTGGTATATAAACCTAGTATACTTGAAATGAATGGTTGATATCACAGAGGTTGAGATTGGTGTTCTGAACTTAACTGGCTGGGCTAGACAGGAAGCAGGACCGATAGGTACTCTAGACTGCTTGTATGTGTTTTATGTGTCATTGGTCCGATCGATAATTCACTGCTCTCTATTTAGCGGTATCATTACGTTATACATTAACAGGGCACCCAGGCAACAAGTTATAACAGATAGTCAACAAGGTCAAATGTAGCTTGAGAGGAATGGATAAATTGGCCTGTCCAGAAGCTATGATAAGTTGTGTGGGCTCGACATAGTAACCGACACTACACTCTGAATGTCGAAAATATAATTTAGAAGCATCGCTATAGATTTTGAGGGTCCATTCGTTAAACGTCATCTCTTCTATAAATTTTACCAGAAAATGAACCCATATGTCTTGACAAAATCAAGAGTTACTTTTATCAAAGTGATCTTGAAACAGTAGCCATAGGAAATATACGGTTTACAATAAAGTCAGTACCTTTCAAAATAACAAATGTCTAAATTAAATTCTTGAAGGAGTACTACTTCATATAGTTTAAAGCCACTTAAAATCAGAAGTGATGAAATCCAGTTCTGATGAGGGATGAAATCAGGTTTAAGTAATCAGTTTCCACAGAAAAAAATGAGTAAAATATTAACCCATTTGTTTTAAATATAATAATGCATTATGTAGAAACAACATAAAACCGTTCACTGTATTAACTTCAGAGACATTACTATTGATTTTCAATTAAATTAATTAACAAAAAACTGGTTAAGTATAGTGTTATTTCGTTTGATTGGTTACCTGAGAATGGAAACTTTCGCCAATTAAGATGAGAAAATATTTAGGGTATTAAAGATTCCCAATGTGAAAATTAGAACAATAGATGTAAGCGAACAATTGTTTACAATTAGATCGTCATCAGGCTTTACTCTAATATATATATGAATATTTATATGAAAATGTTAAACCAATCAAGGTAATTTAGGTCAATAATCACAATGAAATAGAATATGTTAATTCAATAGTAGGAAGACAGGTGTACGGATAGTAGTGAGAAAAATAAAATCTGATAACAAAAGATCACTCGAGTGATCTATCGTATGCATCCATCATTTCCCAACGGAGTTCGTCTTCGTCTCCTACACACAAATGAGGCCATAGAAATTCGTACATTTAACCCGAATTTATGTGTACAGAAGAAATTCGTGACCCGCTTATCCCTTCCATGGCCAGTTATAAATTAACAAACGGCTTTTTATTTTATTTTATTTTTGTTATCATTAACATCATTTTTACATCCGGTATTTGTTTGTAATTTTCCGCTCTTGTCGTTTGTATTCTTCACTATCTAATTATTTACACACTTCTTGTTAAGTAATGGTTTTAATGTTTTGCGATGATTATTTAAATCTATTAATCCACGTTCGACCTTCTATTTCCAATATTGAACTATTGATAAGACTTTTCTTATCGTATTTTATTATGCTGAATACTATCAGTACACCTGTCTTCCTACTATTGACTTGTACTTTTACTCAATATGTATGGTGACTTATTCCGTTTCATTGTGATTGTTAACCTAAATGACCTTTATTGGTTTAAAATATTTTCGTATAAATATTCATGTATATTAGAGTAAAAGCACAATGAAAGCGCATGAATGGATACATTTTAACAAGAGCCAAAACACCATGGTTTGCACAATAAGATAAATTCATTTTATTTAACGCCTTCTCATCAATTGCATACAACTGAGAATTATAATGATTAATATAATTACTGACAAATGTTTAACACAGATTTTATTCCAGGCATTTGATTTTAGGCTGTTTGTTAGTGATGAAAAATTGTAAAATCGAATAAATCAGTTTTATTCTGTAAACCTTGTTATTCTGGCTCTTTTAACACTAATCATGAAACTAACTTGTACAAATTTTACATTGTGTTTGTTTTAGTTTAATTTGTTATCTTAGTGATTATTTCTTCTTCAGAATTAAATTCACCCAATACTATGCTTTTTACAGTTATCTACTAAAAACTGGTTCTTATTCATAAATATATTAAAGAATTGTAAACATATTTTCAATCCCACAGTTCATTCTTTCAAATCTAGTTATCGAATAAAATTGGTCTTTTTAATATTGTAAATCATGAATACAGATTTAACTTATTATAAATTTTGATTGTAGTTTGGTTTTTTGTGAGATTAATATTTAATGTATAGTCTTCGATCTAAACAATGATTGTTCAGGATTATGACGAAAGAATAAAAGATGATCGGAGTTTCAGTAAACAGTAAGTAAGATTTAATGGATTTAAGAAAAGGATTACCTGTTTGCTAAGACTGTAAAATCTCGTAAATTAAATAGAATAAATAGTAAAAATGTCTCTTGTCAAGCACAGTAATATTCAGTATTCAGTATTTCTAAAACCTTTTAAAATGATCATATGTGGTATGGAAATGAACATTTCAGTGCACCTGATTTTGCGAATAGTTCCAGATGATCTTTGAAAATATTTGGTTGAATCATTCTGTTTTTTAAAGAATTTTCAACCTTAATCAATAAAGGTATTTGTATGAATCATATTGTGCCAACTAGCGGAATGCCTGTGAATACTTTTCAGTGTCCGAAAACACTATCTGATAAGAAATTTTATATAAATGCTGAGAACCTTGTTTGATACAAAGAGCTGATTTACTGGGAAATTAATTTTCAGTGTTAGACTAATACAAACTTAGGGAAGTTACTGATCTTGTTATGTAGTTACATTTAAAGACTTTACATTGAAATAAACATACATTTTGAACTTTCTTGAATTTCTTTATTTGATTCTTTTGTAGTTACAAGTTCACGTGTACCTTTAGGTAGCTTAAGTGAGACAAAGAACGTCGACAAGATCTAGTACCACATTTTTCAACAATACTTATACTTTTTGGTTATATTGTAATTATAACTTCAACTTGGTTCAATTGAATTTATTTTTATAATGCGTTCGTAATATTTTTGTTTGATTTTCGAATTGTTTACCACATTTATGGTGTAGTCTTTGTACTTAATACGTACACCAAGATTAACAAATTAATCAGCGGTTAGTACTGGATACAAAGAACATAAGCGAATTGAGAAATTTTTCACATTATTTGTAGATAGGTAAATTTGAAGGGCAATGATAAGAAGTAATGTTTTATGTTAAATTTCAATATAATGTGGATTTAATCAAACGTACCGTAACTGACGTGTATATTCTTTGGGTACTACCCAAGTGTCTCGTAGTTTACTCTCAAATATTTTAGAAATATAAGAGACGGTCCTGATAAGAATTTGTTACTACATTAGTTATTAGAAAATCGAACATGAGTCAGCTGAGTGAATTTTTGATGGCATAAAGTATGAACACAAAATCATACGGAAAACTAATGCTCGATGAGAAATAATGGAGTCTGAATTATTAATATACAAAATTAATGTTACTTTTTATCCGATTGCTCACGTTTGTAAACCTCACTTATAATGAGAAATTTCGGTTTATTTCTTTAATTTATATCCACAACTATCTGTTGAAAAATATAAATATTTATTTTTATCAGATTTAGGACACTATTTCGACTGAGTCATTTACGCTTCACCAACCTATTTATGTTAACTTCGATGTTTTATTTTGGAGTTGTGAGAAATTCACCATATTCTTTAATTAAATCAGTTTGTTATTACCTTATCAACCCTCTTATCTGAGTTTCTATCTCGCTCTAGGTATATGAAGATCTCAGCTCACCGTATCCAGTTATATAATAATACTCCCCCCGATCTTCACCTGAGTGTCTGATAACAAATCATGTGAGTGTCAACTGAAATATCTAACTGTTAAACAGTACTAAATATATGCTTTAGATCTTTTACAATATATTAAAGCCTTCTGTTTCGATTTACCAAACTAAGGAAGTGAAGTACATACATGAGTTCAAATACGTACATCAATGATAGTTATTAAGATAATTTGTTCATCTGAAACCTTAACATAGACCTTAATAAAAATAAGTGGTAACAGATTTCAAATCTGAAAGTAATCAAAAATCTCTAAAATATACCTTTCTGGTAATGAGAATTTAAGTATTTTTTTAATATTAATAGTTATGCTCCAGGGATTTATTGTAATTTACTGATTCTATCATTAGCTTCCTCGAGTAAAAGAAATTTTTCACGAATGACTATAGAACGTCAGGATTAAACTAATTAGTGAATCCAAACTATATTTTGCTAATTAGCTGATTGTATAAACTTTTTTCATTTACAAATAATGTTAACTGAAATTGATAATAAAATGTCTATCAATAGACACAGGTAAGCCCAAAAGACAAGTTACTTCTATGAAGTGTTAACACATGTTTTTAGGTGAATATTTTCACTATATGAATTGTAGAAAATGAGACAGATGGCATGTCAAACTATGTGTTTTGAAATGGCTCCTGTTCTTGGTAAACTTATGACTTTATTAAATTTTAACAAACCGATAATAAAATACACCATACAAGTAAGATTATTATGTTAAAATTAATTTCCAACAAATAAAATTGAACTTCATTTTTGCATTTCGCACAATCGTCCAAAGTCTATTTACTATTGCAATGAATCAGTGCAAAACAAAGAGATTATCAACACTTCATTTCAGATTACTGTCCATCAAACAGCGTTTTTGATTAATCGGGTCAAATACCTGTTTAAAAAACATAGTTTAAAATATGTGAATAGTTCATTCTTAATGTTTATTCATAAAATATTATTTTAAATGTCAGTTGAAAAACAGGAAAATGCAAAGCAATGGATTGAATTGTAACAGGATGGTCTCATCGCATCCCATTATGAACTGCTTTTTTTTCTGTAACTTACCTAATGTAGCTGTATTTAATCGATTATCAACAGAACAGTATGTAAAATGTCAATAGTATGATGGTTAGAACTTAGAAGGGATGACTATGAGTGTCAATGAAATTTCTGCTTCAAATAAATGCTAGAATATTTCAACAGTTCTTTTTATGACTTTCATTATAATAATGGTAGAGTTAAATTTTTGTAATCATATATGATGTAACATTGTCTAATGCAATCAAACAAGTGATGACCGATTTAAAAATGAAAATTTATGATCAACAAATAATCATTATCTACGAGCCCTATTTGACCAAATGTGGTATGGAGATTATAGTTTGAAACAAAGAAGAGTTTTTTAAAGCAGTCTAGCACAATAGAAAAAAGACAACGAATTCAAGTATACAGATATACCATATACAAAGTATACGGATCGTAGTAATATATTCACTTTAAAACAAAGAATTATAGGTCAATTTCTTCAAACAAACAAACAAAAACTGATCTTTACTTTGTATAAATAAAATTTTAATGTTTTAGTCTTATTATGACAAGTACTACCTTAAACTTTTTATTGTTGTAACTAAGGTTCATGTATGGTCTAAATATTTGATTTTCTGATTGCAATCAACTTCTTTTTAAGTTTCTTGTCTGTCTACTTAATGCCAACTTATCAAAATATAAAATTATGACTATCTGTATAAAAATATTTTGGTTGCGCACAATAAAGAATTTAAATGTTAAATAATGAGAATTGACTTACTCGTTTCTTTTCTTTAATCCGCATATCTTCTACACCCTTAATTGACTCCCCAGGTGTTTTGCGGTTCCATAACCTAAAACTAATATATCCATAGGTTGATGTTTGTATTCCCAGTGGGATAATGTAGATTACTAAGAAAAGTACAACTGTGTAAATTGATCGCTTATAGTCATCTCCATCCCATGATTCCTGACATAGTTTACGATCAGCTAAATATCCTTCTTGTTGCTCTAATAAATTTTTATCTTGTTCTTGTATTTGTGTTCTGGTTGCAAACAGTTGTACTGTACTACCGCTAAGTGAAATAGCCCAAATACTTATTATTATGCAGATAGTCAATGATTTTTGATGTCTACTAGGCCAATGATCAAATCTAAATGGACTTATTATACCAAATAATCGGTTTAGACTAATAACTGTATTTGTTAATGACGAGGCTGTAACCATAACCATTTGTACATAAACAACAATTGGACACATTAAATCAGGAAATGGCCAGTGATGTAAATAAATTTGTGTAAATGTAAACGGAATACAAAAAAGGCCCATGAATAAATCAGATATTCCTAAACTGGCTAAATAATAATTAAATGCTCCATTCATATAAAATGTTTGCTTTTGGTATGTGTTTCTCATAACATGGTGTAAGTGCTTCGGTGCTTTTTCTATTGAATTATCCAGGTTCTTTTTCAAAAAATTATTGCGATCATAATTACTCGCTGAAGTGTCATAATTTCCATCAACTTGACGATTCTTTAATGACTGTAGATAATTTTCTGAATTTGAATCTACCAGTTTTTCAGTCCTGGCAAATGGTTTTATTGTAGTATGATATTTTATGCCAAATTTTTTACGTTTTCGTAAAAATATACATATTGCTATTGTATTGCCAATGAAAGAAGATAACATAGTGATAATATACACAGAAAATACTAATATACTAAGAAAAATTGATGTTTCGTTTTTATGAATGATAATATAATTTCCATATTTATCACTACTCATGAAACTATCAGAAACATTATCAATATGATGAACAGAACTTGTGCCCCAGTTGTTAAGTTGACCACTTTCATAAACTGAAGTGAAATTATTCATGTTTTTCTTAAAAAGAAACCGTAATATATGAAATATGCTGAAACGCCCAAACTGTAAACTAACCTGTTAAACATTCATTTTTCAAGTGGTATAAATAAATAATCCGGTGAATTATTTTTACTGGTTAGTTTCTATGTTATTCACGATTGGCTGATCCTCATTATCTATAAATAAAGACTACAAAGTTTTTACCAAACAGTATACTTTAAATAAAACATAAAGTGCATGTCTATAATAATAGTAATAAGAAGAGCTGTAGGAACCATGAAATGACATTTCCATCAATTAATGACAATATCATACAAATTCTTTATCCAGTAACCTACTGTTCACTCTCATAACTGGTTAGTGAAGCAAAAGATATGAAATCTTTCAAAATGTTAACTTAGTAATTATCTGCAAAAATAGGGGATATATTCTTTCTTTAACTTTTCACAATGTTCTAAAAAAAGCAGAGACGTGATTGGTAAGATTACAAAATACTTAAATCTACTTCTCAATAGATTTTCTATTTCAACTGCCAAAATGCTGGGATCGGAGTGTTAAATGCCAAGATGGTAAACCAAAAGCATCTGTTCAAAGTTGAGCTTTCAAGTGCTCTGTGCTTTTAATTTACTTATCGTCTTCCTAAACATAAAAATGTTTATAAAAAAAAAGATGGAAATAGTTCTGATAACAGTAATCATCTCAACCTTTGTACCAACAAAGAACGCAAGATTTTTTCAAAGAAAGACTTCATATTGAATGGAAACTGTCTATGACTTAGTAAAATAGTTTACATAAGAAAATTTTCTATAACCAATTCTTAAAAATAAACCAGAATCAGGTAGTTTTCATTCTAAGTTAAAGATTGAATGTGGCTCTATTATTATCAAATCGAACTGAAAACATTTCCATATCAGCAAGTACTATACATGAACAAGATTTATCCATTGTTAAGCAATAGGAAATGTGAATATGGAAAACTTTTGTCTAATCCTAGTATTCATTTTCTCACTTATTATTTCCGAAACCTGCAAAATAAGGAATGAAAGCGGTATTCAATCATTCTAACCTTACTCGAAATTCGTTTCTTGTCTATGTGACTTGTGCTCACTAATTTCCTTTTATTTCTTGTTTCCATATGATTTTTTCTATCAATAATAACCGTTTATAATTCAGCGATATGAGGAAATGTGGATAATTATTGTAATTCTTTCTTGGCACTGTAGTGTTATAGTATTTATACCCTGCAATCTGCTTTGAAGCAGTTAGGTAATATGAAGGTAATTTACCGATAACTTCAATATACAGACGTACATTCTTTAGAATATATTTCCTAAATCATATTAGTAGTCTGTTTTAGTCATCTAATATACTTTCTTTAAGAAATTTTACAAACCAGAAAAGTACACTTCGAAAACACAATGTAATATGTTCAATTCAATTTACATGTGAATTATTAAATATAAAAATATCCAAGTAAGTAACATCAATTATTATGCATATTCAAACTGGAACTCTCACTGCTAATCCTTTAGTTAGTTGTTGAAAGTACTCAAACACATATTCATCTTCGATGCTGACCATATTTTTAGTGAGATTAAACATAGTATCGCACATTGACAAACGATGATTTCGTTTACCTGTTGTTTTGAAAATACCTGGTTTGTTGCATGAAGTAATGTGCAGTTCTGTGGTAATTCATAGAATTTTTGAAACTGGGAAACTAATCTTTTGTCACTAGACGAAAATAATTAGAGGATCATAGATAACTTAAAAGTAGTAGAATGCTTAACTGCTGCGATTTTGATTTTTCAAGAAGTACTCAAATAATACACTATACGGAATATATTTCCAGAATATTACATAGGTATTACTTATCTACCGATTTACAACTTAGTTGTTTACATCCTCTCATCATTTAACATAATCACATGGGACCAAATCATTCAAGAAATGTATAATTTCTATAAAATTTAAGTGATTTTTATGTCTGTTATAGTCACCATTAAAAGTCAGTCTTGGGGTAAAATAGAAAACAGTATACTAAAAACAGTTTAATGGATAAGAAAATACAAAGTGGTTTCAATGTAATAAATAATTAATCGGTTAGAAACGAAAAACGGTATTAGGTTAAGTAAACACTCAATAAACCTATTTATGAATAGAGAATTCTTTCAGATAATGATAAACATTCTATTTCTAAAGTTAGTTAAGTTAATTTCTAAAACTGTTTTCAATAATTTAAAAAAATGAACACATTTCTTTCTAAATAATTCCCCTAGTAGTTCAACCTTATCAGTAGTTAATCTTTAAAATACATAAAAATTAACTGAATAAATTAACCATATATAAATAATTGATAACAACATAAATGGGCCATGTTTTCAAAACATAAACTCATGTATAAAACATAGTTCACCACATATAGAGGAAATAAGTAAATACCACATCAGAGTGATAAATGTCAAACAATGAATGACTGATGAAAGAAACTTAGGTTGAAATGGAAAAAGTACAGTTAGGAAATAACTTCAAATATAAAGGAAGAAAAATGTGTAAAAAAATGAAGACAAATGAAGAGCAACAGTCAGTGTTCCAAACAAATTTCATTTGAATGTAGAAATGATTTTTCGTGTAGAACTTTTTTTTATTTTCGATTATTTTACATTCAAACACAAACATTTCAAAACTCAATACATTGATAGACCAAAATTGTATAGCCAAGCAAAATTTAGAAAACGTAAAACATACTGATAGCTAACTATAAAACCGAAAATATAACTCATCACACATAGATTGATATAAAGAAGTGATTTACAGATGATGACAAACCAAGCCTTAATTTCCTAGTGGACTATCCTAATTTAAGGCCATCAAAATTGCCAGTGTCACTTTAAAAATAAGCATAGAACCATTTCATAATCCTAAATAATTTTCCATTTTCTCTTAGTTTGTAAAATATACCGTAGTCCTATTATTCACTTATAACATTAAGAAAAACAACAATTCGTTTCCCTTAAACAAAACAATTGAAGTAACAGTACGCCTTTCTGTTGTAAAAAAAAATATTCAGCTTGAAGCATGTGAATATCGACTAATTTAGAAATTCAGAGTTAATGGAAGTAATCAAGCTTTTTTTTCATATTCAACTTGATTTCTGTTCCATTGAGACTATTTTCTGCTTATCTTTTTTTCATCATTCTTTATTAAATATGTAATGCTACATATTTTTTTTAAAATTATGTTGCTTTTCTTTCAGTATCATAATATGATTTATCTGTTTTCCATTTTCTCATGAATCACTAATTATTTAATACGTTGATTTATTAATAAGTTAACCTAATTTTTTTTAGTTTTCAGATGTCACTAGCAAATTAGGCAGTACCATTTGGACTATGTTAGATGAAATCGTTATAATTCAAATACCACTAATGTATAAAATCCTATTAGACTTTAATTATATTAATTGGCATTTCTTGCTTCAAAACGAGAGATGGCAATTAAAGACAACTAATTACTGAATAGTCACTGAAGTAGTTTTTCTTCCAATTTAAGTCTTTATTCCTTGTATCACTCCAGCAATCGTTTTCCTTGATAGATGATGCATTTCATTTTGCAAGTATAACATTCCTTTGAACAACGTTATTAAAATGTATCTCGAAGAAGTAATATTTTATTTAAGCCTGAGAAAATAGCTGTAAAACGTTTGATAGTCACAAGTATACATTTTACACCTACATTTAAAAACATTACTGGTTGATATGAAAGACTTTTCTAGACACTTAATCATGACTGTATAGGAATGAATTCACAGTCACATTTCGTAACAGCGTTTTGTCACTAACTCGACATCCGAGGGAAAACGCGGAATACAATGGACAGCTCAGAATCAATTAGACGATTTAGACTTCGCAGATGACCTAGCCCTCCTATCGAATACACACGAACAGATGCAGATAAAGACAGACAGTGTAGCAGCAGTCTCTACATCAGTACGCCTCAGCATATACAAGGGGAAAACCAAGGTCCTCAAATTCAACACGGAGAACAGCAATCCAATCACTCTTGATGGCGAAACTCTGGAAGATGTAGAATCCTTCACATACCTGGAAAGCATCGTTGATGAACAAGGAGGCTCAGATGCAGATGTAAAGGCAAGGATTGGCAAAGCAAGGGTCGCATCCCTGCAATTGAAGAACACATGGAACTCAAAACAACTGTCGACCAATATCAAAATGAGAATCTTCAATACGAACGTCAAGACAGTTCTACTGTATGGAGCTGAAACTTGGAGAACTACAACAACCATCGTCAAGAAGGTGCAAGTATTTATAAATAGCTGTCTACGCAAGATACTCAACATCCATTGGCCGGATACCATCAGCAACAGCCTTCTGTGGGAGAGAATACACCAGCTTCCAGCTGAAGAAGAAATTAAGAAAAGACGATGGAAATGGATAGGACATACACTACGCAAATCGTCAAACTGCATCACGAGACAAGCCCTAACTTGGAATCCCGAAGAGAAGCGGAAAAGAGGAAGGTCAAAGAACACATTGCGTCGGATAATAGAAGCAGATATGAAAAGGATGAATAACAACTGGGAGGAGCTCAAAAGGATTGCCCAGGATAGGGTTGGGTGGCGAATGCTGCTGAGAGGCCTATGTTCCTCCGCGAGGAGTAACAGACGTAAGTAAGTAAGTAAGCTTTGTCACTAAACTATGATTTCGAAACAACCATATATATATATAATCTATTATTGATTCCATATCTTGAAGTTAATCGCAATAAAATGTAGGAAAACTATTAAGATTCAAAGTCCATTACTTATTCCATCTACCATACTAGAAATATGTATCTCTAACGTTGTATTGTCGATCACGGTGTTAAAAGTTTTTTTAATGTTATCATGCAATTTCGTTTAGCTTGTAATCAGATTTCTGTTAAATAACAAATATCAAATATCTGTCATGAAATTTATTGGTAAAAGGCATTAAGATCTACATCAACAGAAATAAAAAGGTTTGTTTGAACTATGTGACTCACATTCAAACATAGGAATAGC